TAGCTGGAGCGATACCAAAAAAAAGAGTGCTGCATCCAATGCCAATTTAGATCGGTTTCTGCTTGTTGTTCTGTAGGATTTGGTGTTTGAAAGTCGGAAAAACGTTCACAACGATTCCCAATATTACTAAAAAAAATGAACTTTTCATGCAGAGCCGGGAGCCTATTGGAAGCAACGATTGAGAGTAAATCAGGGTCCAGTAGATTGCGCTACCAATTACGACCTTATAAAGAAGAATATAGTAGAGAGAAAGCCAACAGGAAGCTTGTATCCTGAGACAAATTGAGTATCTCATAGCAAAAGCGATGGAGGAGGGAAAGGAAATTTATTGGCTATTCGAAAAGACACCAATTCCAAATGAAATTGATTAGAGTACCCATTTACAGGAAGGCATGCGCAAAATATACTTTTTGTAGGAGTTTGCTGAATTTTACAATTTTCCGGTCGTCATAGGATTTTGTACAGAATACAGAAGCGCAAATGAAACTTGCTCGAAAAAGTATATGAAATTGATTTACAAAAAAAAACGACTGAGACGTGTAATTACGTACTGTACGTGTCTGTAACTGAAGGAGAGAAATTCTGTCAGGAAAAATCAATTTTGGAATGAAGCGTTTTCAGCAAAAATTTGAAAAAAGAATGAATCTGCCAAAGCACAATGTTCTCCATTTTCTAGAGTGATTATATAGAATTAGGTACTGTGTTGAAATTGTTGTGCAATTCGACAAAGTACAGGAAAATGTATCCATTGGCTTTATTCATGTAAAAGAAAAAGCAGAAAATAGAATTCATATCAGTGGCCTGGAAAAGCAAAAATAATTGCTTACTGTTTTAAGAAAATCGTGGGGAACTCCTTGCTCAAATGAAGGGGTAAAAAGGCCATAAAGGGGTGTATAAAACGGAGAGCAATGTGTTTTATGATGCTTCACATCATTATTAGGGTAATCGCTTGACGTGAATAGCGCGCAGAAGACCCTCCCCCTCTTTCTCGGAACCCATTCAGGGCATTTAGGGTTTCCCACTATGACGCGTTGATCAAATTCCCAGTTGCGAATAGCACGCAACATCCAGGAAAGGAAGCAAAAATCCAGAATGAAGTGATGTTGACTCCAACAGAGAACTATGACATCACTTCATCCGGCAAATGTGTGAAACACGTATGCATAGAGCTCGTAAATGCCTTGTAAACAAGAGTGCAAAGGCCGTAAATACACCATTGAGCCCAAAAATAGAATTGCCCGAAGTACACTAGATCCTGAGGTAAGTGGATCTCAGCCATGGCGTAAAGGACTAGCCAAAAGCCAGGCATCCGGCGGAAATTTCTGTCAGATTCGATTGGGGAAGAAGTCGAGCGAAAGAGAAAACTCCTAGAAAGACGGAAAGTTCATGGTAACAGACATGAGACTAGAACATAGCATGCATTAATTAGTAGGTTGCTAGTCCATAAATGTCACTAATGTGAAGAAAAATGATATCGCAAGCAATTATGCAACTTTTTAGAAAAACCTCAACGTAATGTAAATGTCCGACTAATGTCAATGAAAACGGAGAAACTTGAAAAATCATAGCCTGAAAAGTCATACTTTTTGATTCACGACAGAAAGGCTGAGGTCATCAGGCTAGCTGATTTAATCTTGAGTTTCGCTGTTATATTGAGCTGTTAAAAAAGTTCTGCTTGCGCACCTCTTTTTGAATCTCTGATTAAAGGAAAAAACCATCTCTCATGAACATTGCCTACACACTTTCGTTTTGCTAGAGTTTTGTTAAACTTGTGGATTCATACCTTAGAAAGACAGCAAAACAAATGCAAATACTTTCTTCCTTGGTTTTTTTACAGCCAAAAAATAAAATTTTTGATTGTTTAATTATTTTTTGATTATCTAAGATTGTGATCTGAGACATTGCTCAGACATCAACCTATATGATTCATTTGCGAAAGAAAAATTCAGCTTATAAATCCAGCACATGCCGTATTTCGTAAAGTATCGGGAACGCTGATTGGTCCATTTACGAAAATTATGGTCCGGATAAAATTTACAGAAGATTTTCTTAGGCGATAATGAATCAGCTGCTTGGACTGTGGTAGCTTATCCATGAAGACGGTCCGAAATATTTTTTCCAGAGGAGGAGGGGGGGGGGGGAAGGGTAGGGAAAGGGTTGAGGGACCAAATTATCGAATAAAGGGCACGGCTTCGTTGGAATTTTGCGAGATATGTACTTCTCAAATTTTTCAGCGGTCCCAAAGTTCAAGAGGAGAAAGCGTGGTGGCAGCAATACCTCGAAAAATCTTTTTGTTTACAAGAAAGGGTGGCGGCAGCAACGCTTTGAAAGAAAAATTCACGGCTAAATTGGAGTTTCAAAAAAGGCTGAAAATGATTTCAACTACTTTCAAGTGAAAAAAAAACACCTTGTGCAATTTTGTAGCTCATTTGAGAGCTAAGTATATAGAAAAAATTTCGATCCCATTTTCGAGAGAGAACAGGTGGGGGGGGGGGGCAGGCGCCGATATCTGCTTGGACATAGCTTGTACATTAGTCACATGACTGGATTCTAAGAAACTACATTTTGAATTCTTACAATAGCTTGGCATATGGTTAAATGTACTTGAATCAATGAAGGACAATTCAACTGCAATAGAGAGAGAGAGAGACAAGAATGAAATATGAAACGAGAGATTTTTGTTATCCCTGAGAGGGTTGGAATCCCCGAGAGGGTCGTTGCGTGGGCATGGGTAAAAAAATTGAAAAGGATAAGCTTGGACGCTAGAGTATCCAAGACCAAGGAACATCTTTGAGAGCAAAAAACTCTCTTTCTACACTAGCCCATTGTCCATCAACGTCCACCCATTTTCGCTAATTACACCTCTTTCCCAAGAGTGTCTTTGGTCCCTAGGGGTAACCAATCCTTGGCGAGGTAGTCAAGGAGAACAAGCTGCAGTTGTCACAGCCACAAAAAGAGGGCTATTAGGTTTGTAGGCCATAAAAATCAAAGATTATGAGCTTGTCCACTTACGGGGCGTAACAAGGTGCTCAATAGTAGGATGGTGATGAGAACTAGTAAATATCATGCATTTTTAATAAACACACAAAAGGTGTATTTTATTTATCAACCAATTTCGTCAATATACTTGAGTGTGTCATAAAACGTTCTTACTATGTGATCCGAGATATCTCTCTTGTCACGATGTGTTTTTCCAATTTTTTGAAAACCTTTTATTTGAAGAAGTGGCTTCAATTTTGATTTAGTGTTGGTAGCGGATTACCAAGGCTACCATATCATTACCGTAGGGTCACGGAGGAACTTTGAAGAGAGTTTTGCACTGTTGAAAAGGATCCTGCTCCGAAATAAATTCAAAAATCGATATTTTCAAAATTGATCATTGCACATTACTATGAGACCTAATTCGAAAGTTAGGCCTGGTATAGCTAAAAAAGAATTTCCGAAATTCTTTGAAAACCTAGTCACACCACTTGAAATGTTTACAAACGTGTATGAAGGGGATTTCAAGAATCAGCGCCTTCTAAAACCCCAGCACAAAAATTTCAGGTGTTTTGGGAATATTCTGGGATTGTAGCTAATTTTTAAGAACGCCGTGATACCGGTAGTTAGGTACCGTAGTCTCACAGTAATGAAGAGGGACTTGTGCTTCGCTTTAAACTGTATCTCGTCTCAAGCCTCTACAATGGGGTACCTGAGATTAGAGGAAGAATTCGGGGCAAGAAGCTATATCAGATCAAACAGTAGGGACATTTGACGCTCTATATAAGAGTTATGGGTTTTCAAAAGCTTTGGTGCAAGACCAAGGAGCAGGTTACCGCTTTTATTAGAAAGCAAGCTTCTGCAAGTTGATGACTTCTCGCTATAACTTCTCAATAGCAAACAGCTTTAGCTCAGAGATCAATTCGATTTGCTCGAGTTATAGCTTAACATGCGCTTACGGTCTAGACTACTCATTTCATGCATTTTTACTACGCGATGATTGAGATAATTTTTGTTGATTTACTATATTCCGAAACATGCAAAAATTCAGAGATCTTCGATGACTTCGTAAGCATGCGAGAAAAACTATGAGAAGTCGAAAATCGCTCGATTCTCTTATATAGAGTTCAAAGGACCCTAAACCCAAGGGGTAGTTCATATGAATTATTTTTAGCCAAGAAAATCGTCTAAGAATTCCAGTCCAGACTGTATATCTGCTTTCTCAGGTATGTACATTAGGGGTACAACTGGGGCAAAAATTCTAGCTCGAATTTTTCAAGGGCTGAATAAATCATATGAGCCATCGTTTGAGCAGTTTGGTTAAGATTTCCCAAACAGTTTCTGCAAAAGAATATCAGCACACACAATTTTGTTCTTCCTTATGAATCGAGGTGCTATAAAGTTTCCATTAATCTTATTGGCAATCAATGAGTCAAGCTTGTTTATGGTTTGCTAGTAAAGCAAAACAAGAAATTACTAATGATTTATGAAAAGTTCGAATTCTGATTTATGTGCAAGATAATTAGTAACATTGCAGGTTTTGAAAGCTTCTAGAATCAAAATTATGAGGATATGGAAGTAAGAGAGGAAGGAAGAAACTCGAATAGATATAAAAAGTTACAAGGCTATTTACTTGCAAGCATATCCGGCGCTCTTTGCAATGTGAGATATTCAGTAAAAAAATCAATGTTTTATGATAAAAGAGCGTTTTGGCATCACCTCAGACTTAGTTCACGAGAAATTGCTTAATCAATAAGAAGTTTTTCTACTTGGGTTAGAGCGATAAAATTCGAGTTGCAGATCTGAAAATAACAGTTGATAGACATATACGCACAATGGTCGCGGACAACTGACACAAATAAAACCGACGTGTCCATGAGAAAACGCGTAAACAAACGTTTTTTGGTGGTTTTTGGTAGTATTTTTTGGGCACACTTGTACTCATGATGAGAAATTGCCAAGTTTAACTGCTGAACTCGGCTGAGCACTCGCTAAAATGTGGAAATTTCCAGACAACTTACGGCGTCGAGGTCCGTGCAGGAATTGTAGAGCGACTCGACGGATGGCACAGATTTTTTTTCGAACGAGTGATGTAGCGAAGCGCCCCAGAGCGATTTCCTCGCTGCTGCCGAAATCGGCGTGGAAGATGAGACACATCTCATAACTGTAAAACACACAATAATTCTATAATAAGAATATGTCTGCTGAAAATTGGGGAGATTTTCATGTAAATTTTTGCCAGTGGCAGGCATATTTATTTGAAATATTCAGTGAAAATTATTTTTATGCCGAATTGAAACCATTAATTAACTTTTGATTCAACTGGCTTGACGGCTGGAAGGCGGAGCTTTGTAACCTAAGGCCCCTTGCGCCCGCGACGCAGTTTGCTCTCTGTTGTGCGCGTGCTGTCTGATCATTATCTAGCCTCAATTAGGTCATGAAGCTCCGCCTTCCAGCCGCCAAGCCAGTTGAATCAAAGGGTTAGGTTCAATAAGGAACATAGACATAATGAAGTGTCCACTTATTTATTGATTTGCATATGAGAGGTAGAAAATCGCAAAAATAGGAGCACTTCGTACTGATTATGAGAAAATCAGGTGCAGCAGAATAATCATAGAAAATAGCAATTAAGGTTTTAAAATAAAATCGTCGAAATCGTAGTTTCCAAACTTCGCAAATGTACGTAATTATAAATTTTCTCCTGACTTCCCCTCACATAATGAATATTGCCTGACCATCTCTAATGCCTTTCCATTCAACTAATTTCTGTTTTCCACGACACTTCAATTAATTGAAAAGTTTGATTAATTACTGAAACCTTTTTTGCAATACATCCGAGTGAAAACCTGCAGGTTGCAATTTTACTTAATTTTACAATTACTGTTACGAGCGATTTGCTATAATAGACATAATCATTCAGCAACCATAGAAAGTATTTGTTTAAGTCTCAAATAAGCCAGGAATTCTGCGCCACAGTAATTTGCAATTTCACAAATTCGCATTTGTTCAAGCTTCCTCATCTCTTGCGCAGGCTGCTGATAACCTTCAAACAGCGCAAAACTTTTGCTTTACAAAAACGTTTCAAAATTTGTAAACTTTCTGATTAATTGAAAGACGATAATTTGAGTATCTTGCACTTAGTCGGATAGAAAATGAATTTTTGCAGGCCAGTAAATATCTTTCTAAGAAAGCGGCAATTTCGTTGTGCAAAACATCTGAAGCGGGCAACATAGATATATCGTAAAACAACTTGGTTTCCAAGAAAGCAAAAGTTGTGAAAAATTCAAATTTTTAAGCATCGAGTAAGTGAAGCATGCCCGAACAGGCTAGGGCATTTTAGTTGGATCAAAGCTAGTAATACCTACTCCGCATCATTAGGCACAGTAATAAATAAGAGAATTTATTGCCTGGAAGGAATAATAAATGCAGCAAAGATTATGTAGGTACATTCGGCAAGACCATTAATGCTCTAAATTATGGCTTAATGGGAGTTCAAATAAGTGGACCAAAAGCAAAAGATTGCAAAAACGGAATATACTGGGTCCCAGTACGAACATGTGTGACTAGTTTACCGTAACCTTAGTCGAAAGAAGGATCTATAAACATATCGCGTTTGTGCGATTACACAGGTACACGCCGCTGATCTGCATGATCTATTATCCACTTCGCCATTGGTCAATTCACTGATTTGTACAAGTCCAATAATCCACTGAGTTCCGTGATCCGCTTCGCTATTGGTCCAATCAGTGAGCTGACCAATAGCGAAGTGGATCAAGTGGACCAAGTATGGCTTGTGCCATCACATTTGCATGGGCATGGATTACGGTAATTACGGTAGCAGTCTAAGAGTACGAATACGCAGATTATCAAGTAGCCAAATCCTTGCTGTGATTTAAAATTAATGAGCACCTTTTCTGCTGTTTTCTGCCAAAGCGTGTTACTTCAAAAAATTTAATTTTGGATTTTGTAGCTCGCAAAAATATTCTAGAAAAATTTCCGCACTTACCCGGATTTTGGCCATGTGCTTTCATTGTTGCGTTCACCACTGAACTAAACGACAACTGTGGATGAAGATGAGAGGGAGAACATGGCGATGCAGCTGAAAAAAGTTATTTATTCTTGGGAAATGAAACAGAAGAAATTTTCAATCGTTCGGACCAGTTAGCTTGCTGAGAGGACAATTTGCTGATTTATTATGACAATGCATTGTTTGTGACAATTGTCGGGAGCAGGCTGATTCCTCATAAGAGATGGATGAGGGGAATATATAGAGAAAGTACAGAGACAAAAAAGTTGCAAGTTGTCAGAAATGACTTCCAAAGATTAAAAACCATATTTGTGATCATTGTCGAGCTGCGCAAGCTATTTGCAAGCCAGTCGCAACTTAATGAAAATGATTTCTGAATGGCAGGTGAGCTGAAGCTTTGATGTGACCAAAGAATATTTTCGATTAAACAAATCAAAGATAAGGTAGTGTATGGAGAAGGAAAAAATGAATCAAGGGAGACTGAGTTTCCAAAAAAAATTTCTCACCAGATTTTTTTCGTAAAGTTTTGAATGAAGACAATGCTTGCTTATTGTTTGGATTTTTCTATAAGAAATTGGATTATTTTCGATGTAACTCCTTGGAAAGGTTAGATAAGTAAATATTAGGATGGAACATAAATTTTGCACCAAAATTTTTTAGAAATTAGCCATATTTTCCAAATTTCAATGATCTATACGGCATGAAATTATTTAGAAGCCAAAAAAAATGATTTTAGTAGTACCGATGCATAAATTATTTCTTTTATCACTCCAGGAAAAGCTGGTAAGACAAAATTGTAAGTTTCTTTTCTTGAATTTTTTCGCTAAGAAGAGGGTGAAAAATCCAGTTTTAGGCTACAATTTTATGACCTGCTCTTTCTAGAAAGAATATATTCGTGTAATCGGCTTTCTCATCAAAAGTTCCAATTTTTGCATTTTGTTATTCCAGATAAAAATTCTCACATGTATTATCAAATTATATATTGTTGTACAGTGAGAAACTACAGTTTGAGAAAAGAAAAATGATATTTTTTCAACAAAAAATATGGTGCAGATGGAAGCGGTTTTTAAAGCATGTTTAAAAAATCTTTCTAGAATTTTCGTAACAGGACTAACAGTCCGACTTGACGCAAAAATATCAGGCAGAGTTATGTACATAGTGACTCTAAACTTGATTGATGACTTTAAACGTTTGATAATGAAAAAAAAAACTTCTTCAATACTGTAACCAAATGAATATTCCCTTAAAGTAAATAAGCGACTTGAAGAAAGTGCAGAGCATTAGCTGCAAGCTAAAGATGTCCTATTATCCTAAAATCAGGAGGAAATTGTCAGGCCAAATTTGGCACTGCTATCAAAAACTTGTTAACTAACACTCAGTGGAGCTGCTCCTAGTATAAACTATAAACCACTTGCACTGGAGAGTTAAACTTTAGCTAAACCAAAAGGGCAGAAATCTTACAAAGGAGCAAGCTACTTACACAAATTTATATCGATGGATAATAGCTTCTAATCATAAAATTACACAAAGAGTAGTTGTATTAGGGAGTAAAAATAGATTTGAACATCGTAATTTGAGAGCAATTAGAGATTATGATTGACTAATTTTAGTTGAATACGGGATAATCATAACATCATTGGATATAAGTAATCCATAGCGTCAGCTATTAGACTGGACACCCAATTTTCTTTTAATTTCGCTAATTTTGACAAACTTTTTATGATTACAATAACGAAGCCATAATGACATTTCCCATCAGCACTAGGTAGAAGCAAAATGGACTTTGCCTTTGTAGAAGCAAAAATTCAAAATCCATGGTTCAAAGTTTTTGGAAACTAATGCATTTTGTTGCTGGGAAGAGTTAAATTATGGTCGATGGAACTTTTAGAATATTCTATTCAACGATGGATTTGCGATGCACCATAGCTATATAAAAGAGGCATAAAAATTATGAATTCTAGAATTTTCTATGAGAACAAACTAACAACTGCATTTTTTAGCATTTTCCTCATCTCTATTGTTTTTAGACATCAAAAATTACCAAAGGCATGTACAAAAATGTTTGCAAAATGGCACCATTGTTCGAGTTCCATATGTGGTGCAATAAAAGCTGAATCTATTTGATAAAGCCTATGAATTTATTATTATTGAGCAAAAGAAAATTACGCCTAATATAATCGAGTTCAGCCGTCTGAAGCGGATATTATCAAAAAACTATAGGCAAGATCTTTGGTTAAGAAAATCTGCAAGCAAATTCTTATTTGGTCAAAGAACTAGGAAAGGAAAAAGGATTTTGATTTGCTTTTGCTAGCATGAAAAAGATCGCCTCTAAACTACTAAATACATCTTTATTAAACCCCTTTTTGAATAAGTTCAGAGCCCATGGGCAACGTACAAAGTGTGAAAAGCCTTGACTAAGACATGAGAGTTCCTTGAATACACATAGGTTGAATGCTTATATGAAGTTATAAACATTCCAATAAGTACAAAAATTCTCGCTCTCCACCATTTTCAGGCCTATGAGATTTTTGAACATAATTATATGAAAGTGAGCCTGAAGAACTTAATTTGGTCTCATTTTTTGTTTTCGCTGAGGTGCAGAAGTGCCCAAAAACAACTAAAAAGGTCATTGTTCTAACTGCCATACATTGGGAAGAGAAAACATTTATTCAGCTTTTCAAAGCAAATTTATTTTTTGCTTATCGAGCAGTAATATAAGTTTATCATTTAAAAATTCAATCTGATTTTGATTATCCAAAAAAGATTGACTTTTAAAATGATGGCGTCTTGGAATTTTTATCACACAAAATGAGCAGAAAAATTTGAACGGGTTGTTCGAAGTGCACCTCTCAAAGTTTAGGAGAACTGATGTAAGCTCATTACCGGTGTTTAAAACGACAAAGACATTGACCAAAGGATTAAGATAAGGCAAAAATTACGCAAATAGTAATTGATAAGAGTTTGGTTTCAAAAAGGCAGCAGGACGGTAAGATCCGGTTCGTTAGGCTAAAAAGAGGCATTATGTACAAATCACGCTAATGAGCCTGAAATTGAAGGAGAAAAGCCTAATCAAATGGTGAACTTTTTAAATCTTCTGCAAAAGTGCTTTCTAAATACCTATTTGCGTAAATTTTGCTGTCCCATACGACCAAATAATGCAAAAATATTTGCTTTCAGCGAATATCTGAAACGAACGCAGTAGCATTTATCACATCCGGGTCCAGCTGAACACGTGATAAAATACCGGATAGCCTTTCAAAAATAGCACTTTTGCACGCACGCCGAATATAAATAAGGCCATTACAGCCATTAACATACATTCAAAAGGCAGTCAATGATGTCATTGAAAGGCTTCAATAGTAGTGGAATTATAAGATTAGCAAGAGTGCAAAGCGTTGTGTTTGGAACACTTTCATTAGCTGATGGTTCGTGGTACGGTAGCGGATTAGATTACGGTAGTTTATAAATCAAAAAGGAGGATGTGTGTACTTTTAAGGCGTGAGCTGCAAAAAAAGAATATATACGATATTTCTTGGAATTTTGAGGAATTGTCCTGGCGCAAACATAGAATCTAACAGCAAAATTTTTAAAAAATTCAGTGTTTGTCATTTTTTTCTGCGCTATTATAGAAATGCTTCATACTAAGGGATATTGCTATTAATACACAAAAATTCTAATTCCGAAAGAAAAAGGGTAGAACCACGTCAAAAATATAAAATCGTTCAAAAATTCCCTACAAATTTTGATTATGGCTATTGCCACCCAGACAGCATCAGCCTAACTGATGCTCTACTGATGCAATATGTCAATTTCAGTGCTTAATTCGATTTATGTCGTCAAACTCGCGTAATTCGCATAAAATAGCCCAAGAAGATTGGCCGACAGCCAAGCACTTTCCGGACTACAAATTCGGGATCGCGCATCAATCTAACATCTAGCCAGCAAATGAGCCGGATCCGGTCCTTTCTGGACAACAAAAGTTGATCCTGCTGTCTTTGGGAAGTCTTGGGACTACATCTGGGAAGAGTGAGCGGGATATGAAGAGTTGTCAGTGTAAGAAATCAAGTAGCAACTAAGCTGAACCTGATCGGGCGTAAGTTAGAGTGCTTATGAGACAGCGAATTACTCTGCGGTTTGTGTGAGATTGGGTATATCCTTCAAGTTTTCTTTTCTTTTTTAGTACCCAGCTATAAAATAATTTTTCAGGCCGGATCTTGAAAGCAAAATGTTTTTCGATACTATTCAAAGCTGATTTCCTTGAACACGAGCCCAAAAAAACTTTTTTGCTCGAAGAAAAATCCTTATAACTATTCAAAATCCCTCCACTCCATATCTCAAGGGTTTTGATTCATAAACATGTACCAAAGTATGGAACTATTTTGCAAAATCTTAAAAAATTTTGTTTAGGCATATTCATCGGACATCACTGCGTTTAGTTCTGCGTATTGCTATAGTATCACAAATAAACGAAAACGTGGAAAAATGCGAAATTTAATAAAAAATGCGCTAGCAAATTTTTCGCGCATCAAAGTGTATGCACATTGTAATTGATGATCTTGCATTCAGAAAATTATTCTAAAGGTAGGACTTTTATGAGTCACTTTACAGTGTTCAAATAAAGTACGAGAGCAAGTTGCGTAAGTCAGTAATTACCTAAATGAATGTTTGATGCATGGATGTGAACTACGAAAGCTTAAAAAGGAAACGGAACTAATTAGTGGCTGAATTGAGGGGGGGAACTCGGTTGTGAAAAGAAAAAAAACGTGTGGAGATAATTGGTGACCCGCGTGTAGGCGGCAAAAATCATAAATCCCCCTAGATCGAGTGAGTAAAGATACAGATTCGGATATCAAAGTTGTAAAGAGTGCAAATGGCTTGTATGACAAGTATGTGAACAAACATCACTTTAAACTATGTACTATGAGGAAAAGGATATTTGATAGGGGCAAGTAGTCGAGATCAAGAGCGAAAGGGCACTTACCAGGTGCAGCTGGATATTCGTCACGATCTGCCGCGCCTCCACCAGGATTCTCGTCTTCTCGAGGTTCAGTATTTGAACTGAAATAACATAATTGTAAGAACTAAAATAGATGAATTTGGTTATGCTCATGAATTTGTGAAAATTCAAGTAAGTAAGAAAGAATTTCAAAGTAAGTAAGTTTGAAGAGAACAAAAGGGTTATTAGAGGCAATGATGGAGGAACAAGTTTGAGAAAGATCATCAGATATGTGATAGAGATTTGAAGCAAACGGAAATTTACAAAAAATCACAAAAAAACGAGATTACAAACTTTCGAGATAACAAAACCAGCTCATAAATTTTGAATCGATTCAAAGTTTTATATTATTTCTTGAAGTACCCTCGAGATGTGAAAGTGAAAAGCTTTTCGATTTTGTAGATTACAATTTTTTTGGAAACTCACTATGTATTAGAATTTTGACAATAATGAAAAGTCTCGAACGATTAGTATAAGCCAAACAATGCCATTTTTAATAAGTACCACTAAGGACCTTCCTAAAACCTTCGAAAAAATTCCCTTGGAGATTTAAGCAAATATTACCAGTTTTCAAAATTGAGAAACTTACCCGATTTTATTCTGGGTTATCCATTTAGAGAAAATTCTCAGAAGGAAGGCTTACACAAATCGAGTTGTTTACTTCCCAAAAATCAAAGTTCTTTTTTTCAAAAATCTCAATTACTGCCGCCAAAGTAAGCAAAATCGAACTTTCAGTCAAAATGCCCCAGGGACCAAAAAAACTATTTTGCCTTTCTATTCGCTTCGCTGCGCTTTAGGAGGACATCATCAATACAGCACCAAAAGTCATAGGCACTTTTAACTAAAAAAGAGTCTGCACTTCCTGTTCCGAGATTCGCGAGAATGAGATGATAATGATGTAAAGCAAAGAGCTGTTTTGATCAGATTTTTCGTTGCAAAAGCAATGCAGAAACGGGAAGTCAAGTGACTTTGATGGAAAAATTACGAATTGAAATCAAATAAATTTGGAAACTTTGAATACCCTTCCCTCAAACGCTGAAAAGCTCGATATGAGAACTACCAAGCAAACAAATTATAGAATTAACGATTTTTTCCATAAAAGCAACTTAGTTTCAGTAGAAATGATTCGGAAGAAAAATAGAGAATCTCTTTTTGATGGGGTAAATGTGACAGCAGCGACCTGTACGATTCCGAAGCTGTCAGTGATCACGGCCGAGTGGTCTAGTGGTATGATTCTCGCTTTGGGTGCGAGAGGTCCCGGTTTCGATCACCGGCTCGGCCCGATCTTTTGCGAGAAGTTCAACGACTACTATTGTCTCGAGTTTTGCAATAACCTGCTCTAAACTAAAATTTTTGGTGAAGTTTTTGAATTTTAGAGCCGAATAAATCTTTCAGATGTAACTGCTAGTTATTACACCGAATATGTCTTCGCAATAACGCCTTGTTTTATGGAAAACGAGCAGTAAAAAAGTATCAAGTTTAGCTCTAAAACTTCATCGCAAATTATAAAAGCCAACTAGATGACAAACAAAAGTACTGAAAGGACAAAAATGATTAGGACATTCAGAAAAGAAGAATTTTCATCGAAGGCGATAAAAATTGAGAAAACGAATAATTGAGCGAGACTTTAGACAGATGTACTTGGTCCAATAACCAGAGACTAGTCCCTTTGGACACCAAAGTTTCAAGACTTTGAAAGGGCCGTTCGCAAAACATATCCGAAATTATGCAGTGTCAAGCAATCTCTCTAACTGTCGACTCCAATTTATGGTATGTCAAGAAAATGCATGATCTAATCTCCAAAAATCCTTGAGGATGTGGAAAAAAAGTGAGCAGGAAATTGCCAATTTCATTTGCAAGCGTGCAGACCATCAAGGTCAAGACAGAAAAACCGTTTCCAAGTATTTTCCTAAAGAGATGCTCTAGACAAAGAAATGACGAGAAAACAATAGGAAAGTCACAAAACACGTCATTCTAAATTTCTACAAAGATCACGGATTCATAAAAGGAGCCGCTGTGCCTATTGTTAAGGGCAACCCACGCACCTTCAGTGTTGAACCTTCAATTATTCAGGGTCCAACGACCAGAAGGCAGTCTATGTAAAGGGAGGCCGAAAGCAGGTGCACGGAAGAATTATGTAGCTCTAGGGCTAATAAAATTATTATTATGGGCATATGCGTTGATAATAAGAAAATAAACGAGTAACAACAGTTTTAAATCGGGAAGACTATCTTGGATGAAAATGCGTTTCTTTGGAGTTTGAGTAAAGATGAGGGACTCACTTGTAAAGGTCCAGGAGTGAACAAAAACTACTCAGTTGTAGATGTAATTTTGAATTTTGTTTGTAAGACATTAGGATTGATTTTGCAGACTTCAAGAATTCTTTGATGAAAGAAAACCACGTGGAAAGTACTAAATACTGTCGTTTCCACAGTCACAGACACTTTGTGTAATTGCACCACTTTCGAATTATGCAGTGGAGCAAACCGGTAGTGACAAAATCTTCATGGCAGCTGAAGAAACAGCAGAAAAGGGCAAAGTTCGCAAAAACCACAAGGAAGCAGAGAAGAAATGTCGAATTTGAATAACTTTTGGCGTTTCATCTAGAAAAACTGGTGCAATCACACAAAAAGCGGCTCAAACGAGCGTATTTTCCAGATCCAGCTACTTTAGATTACCATCCTAGACTTCTGATTCACCCAGCATAAGCTTAAGTAAAGTTGAAGAGTATTTACAAGTTGCAAAGCAATCACTTAGACTAATCGCTTTTACGCTATCGGTAAATAACACACTTCTTCCGATTTCATCAGCGAATGACTCAATTTTTCATGAGATATTAGAAGCAAAAGCGAAGAGTGTAGAAGGAAGCTTTATGCGAAATAATGGGAGAGAGATTATTTGGAGGGACTGAAAAAAAACGTCTTCTTTTTGCCTGAAACTCCGAATTGATAAAGAAAAACAATTTCCAAAAATACGAAATCTTCTCGAATCACATACTTATACCATTCCTGCTGATTCCATCTATCTATCTCAACAGTTAACTCCACGAGGAAACAAAAATGTACGCAACTACACAACTCAAAGAAAAGTCGAAGAGAAAGACATTCAGCGCAAAACAAATCTAAAGCATTTTCGTTGAAGTGTTTTGAAGGTACGTGATGTGCCGTTGTTGAAGGAGCCCTAGCCATTCACCATGCACACGAAAAGTGTTTTTAGAGAAAAAAAGGATGATATATCCGTTGCTTAATTCATATTTTTTTTATAAAATCAAAAACAAAATTTTTTTACAAATTCAAAAGAAGGATGACGTATCTGTTGCTTAATTCATATTTTTTTATAAAATCAAAAACAAGTGCAACAATATTATACGAAAAATGTGGTCCTTCTTAATATAGATTTTGATTGTACATTTTGAGTTTTGTGGCTTAAACAAAGCCAACTTTAAACTCTCGCCCAGACTGTCTATGTTCGAGTGAGAGTACGGTAGAAATTATACAATCTGGGCGAGAGTTTATAGGGCAATTTCTCACATAAGAATGAGTCATATAAACTGCCGCTTGGGCAATAATTTGGGCAGGACCTCCGAAATGCTTATGCTATGGCAAATAGTCAAAATGAAAAGAACCGGATTTTTGAAAAAAACTCAAATTACCAAAAATGACCAGTCCAAGGCGGTTGTCTGCAGCCCTTCAAAGCGCTTTGCAAAACCGATAATGACAAATTATCCTGCAACCATCCACAGAATATTATAAGGGCCTAATGACGGAAGTCTGCCTCGCTGGCTTCAAAGCACTACTAGGGGAGCAGGAGGGAGGGGGGGGGGGAGAAAATTGCGCCTAACTTCAAAGATTGTGCTCGTTGGAAATGCGCCTAAGTGCCATGAACTAAGTCAGGCGAACGTTCTAAAGCGCTTTGCGTGTGAATACACAACAAGCTTGAGAATTGAAATGGCTTAATGGTGTTCATGTCAATGAATATCTAACTATGGTAATGTTCGAAGAATGAAAGGCAATTTGAGGGTAGGTCTATTGAACTTTTACGTACATAGTAGATTTCCCCAAGGTAATTAGTTTAACTTTAACGTAGACGCAAACGTTTTGTATTGGGACAGAAAAAAAGGTGAGCCTTTCGTGATATCCAATTTTCAAATTTGGATAATTATTCTCATAAAATGTCACATTAAAAGTAACGAATCGGGGATAATTCTTTGATTTCGATGAAGTTCGGTTGTTTTTTTGTGTAACGCTAATTGAAAGCACAATCCAATCACAGTGAAATAATGAAAACAGGAATTTTGTTTCATTTTTGAAAGGGAACTGAAAAAATTGAATCATATACAATGGAAATATATAACCTTTGATTCAACTGGCTTGGCGGTTGGAAGGCGGGGCTGTGTGACCTAAATGAGGCCGCTCGCGCCCGCTACGCAGTCTGCGTCTCTCTCGCGCGCGTGCTGTCCGATCATTATATAACCTTAATTGGGTCACAAAGCCCCGTCTTCTAGCCGCCAAGCCAGTTGAATAAGGTACATGTTATTTCAATTTCTACCCATTTCTCTAAAAAATTTCTCAAATTTCTGGAAAAGATAAAAATTTTCTCATTTCTGTAAAAAATAATGTAAAAGACTCCTTTTCACCAAAAATTGCGAATAATAACAAAATTCACCTTTTTATACTCAACTTATTTCTTGAAAATTCAATTTAGACATTCACGCAATTGTATTGTAAATTTTCTAAAATTGCAAAACATTTCTGTATATGAATGAATAGAAGCCCAAATTGGAAGAGCAAACAACCAGAAATTGACATGAGACCAAAAGCAACGCTCTGGAAGCAGATCTTCCCGCTTGCTATGCAAAAATGCCGTTCGCCGCCTTCTTTGTTGTTTTCTCACACATTTTCGAGCTCGTCCATTGTCAGCTAAGGGAATCTAATCCGCTCATCAGAACATGGTCTGGAAGATAATCCCGACACAGACGCGAAAGAACAGAATAGCGTCTGAGTAGGTGAAGAAAATAGTGAAGAGTGGATTTTTCTGTCTATTTTTAAGTACTGGCTTCCTGCAACGTTCCCAAACCTTTAAGTTTCATGTTTCTGTCATTCTTAGGCCCTGATTACAGATATGAAGTGCAAAATGTGAACCCCTTCCCCTTCAAAAAAACCTAATTCTATTAGCTCTATCACAAAGACACAGACGACTTTTGGTACATGGGTGGGCGGAGCTTGATAGAAGGGCGTGGCTTGATAGCACTTTCGCGAGTTCCAGCTTCATTTTTTTCACTGAGAGGCCCATTTGAGGATCGGACCAACGCAGATGTCCTATACTAGGGCCTTCTTGTAGACTAGGTACAATTGGGGAATCATAAATTGTCTGAACTCTGCCTTCAACGGCAGCGTCCAGGCAGATCTGGACCTATGGGGCTTTTACGTGGAAAGTACTTTTGGGGCCCTAACTAAGGCACTGCCCAAGCGGCAGCTCAGGTAGTGCTGTAATGGCTGAGATATTCCCCTCGAAACTGGACCCCGCGAACGTATTCGCATGGATTCATGGCAGTTTCGCGCCAGGATCCACGCTTTGCGCCATGAATCCATTCGAAACACGGTCGCGGGGTCCAGTTTCGAGGGGAATATCTCAGCCATTACTGCACTACCTGAGCTGCCGCTTGGGTAGTGCCTTAGTTAGGGCCCCAAAAGTACTTTCCACGTAAAAGCCCCATAGGTCCAGATCTGCCTGGACGCTGCCTTTAAGTAAAACTGATTGGCAGGCCTTGATCAGGTTTTTACTGGTGGACGACAAATCTTGATTTACCTTTCGCCCACACCGTAGTCTCTCCACGCAGATAGCGTCTTCGAGACAGTGGAAGGTACGGTGTGGGAGAGAGTTTGAAAACAGGATTTTGCTTATCAGCTTTACAATAGCTACCGCTTGGGCAATGACTTGACTAAGACCTTCAATATAGTTTTACAAGAAAGATTCACATTCTCAGGTTTGTTTGGACACCGTTTTTTTTGCTCCTCCCACATATTTTAACGTTTGAAGACCAGCAATGTAATAAAATCCCGTGAGATTTCCGCAAATTGAAGAGGCTATAAAATATGTAGCTAAAAAAATTCAAGAAAACATTTCACTTTCTCCAATTCATACTTTTTTGGCGTGCTCGAAACATGAGAATTTCCAGCAATGGCTCAAAAATGGCCTGAAAAAATTAAGCTTTCTCTTTTCAGCATTCTTTTTTCTGAAGGCTTAGTTGTCTGTTGCAGTTCCTCTTCCACATCACATACATGACGTTTCCATTTTGTCCAAAACGTCATTTTTCAAAGTTCGAATGTCCCATTTTCAGTGCAGTCACATTTTTGAAGCAGACATTTTTTCGTCCTTTTTTAGCAATGCCTTACCATAGTGGTCGAGCGGGTATGTAATCCATATTCTTTTTTTACCCCTGACATGAAAAGCAAAAAATATTTCAGTAAAAGTAAGGAAAAAAAGGAAGAGGAGTTTTTGAGAAACGCGAGAATTCTATATGAAGAAGCTATCACCCCACACCTTCAAAATGACGTTTACTTTCTTACCGACCAAAAAAAATAGCGATGTGCTTAGTTATTTGATAGCCTGTGGGTTTTGAGTTTCATTAGAATACAAGTCGAAGAAACATAAGTTTTGTTACACTTGAAAAAAGAATCCTTGTACTTTTTCCCGAAATTTCCTCTAGCTACAATTTTACAGAATGGGTTTGACTCCAAAGTTAGGCTATATTAAGAAATTAATTTTTTGATTTTTGAAGATATTTGCATGGTTTAGCTGGCTTGATTGGCTTGCCGCTGACCTATTCTGATAGAATTTGTATTCAAGGCTATTTCAAAATTGAAAATGAAGTGTGTAAACTAAGAAATAGATATCAAGACACAGAAATAGAAATAAATATTGAGAAAACGATAAAAAAAGAGCACTCAGACCAGTTTGAGGGATAATCAACAGATGAGTGAATTTCTTTAAAAGAGATCAACATTTTCTGAAAATCGCAGTGGAAGTTACGGTACAGCTTAAAAAATTACGATTACAAGTATGAGCTCATTACCTTTGTTATATAGATAATCGCTATGATTGTAGCAAATGTACTTTATCAGAGATTTGTAATACACCTGGTACCACTTTATGACGCATTTGTTTCAAATTTGTTGAAGTATGAAAAAATCAATTCTGAGATGGTTGTAGACATCAAGAAAATCTTAAAAGAAGTCCCTTTGTTCTTGAAAATTTCGTACAAGTCCCTTTGACCCTAAACCCTAAACGTAAAAAACCCTCCAAAAAACGAATGTCGATTAAAAAAAACTTTGCAATTTTTGTGTCTCTTCGGACACAAAAAGGAATCCCCTTTGCTTTTTGTCCCAAAAACGGTATCCAGCTTGACCTGATGCCAGTTGTGCTAAGCCCTGCTTGTAGATGTTTCCAGGGAAGGGCAAGGTTTAGAAAATTCGGAGCCGTCCAAAACATGAGATCTGAAGGCTTTTCTAAAATTTTGAGGTAGCGAAATTAAGGGGCTAAAAAATTAACAACAAGCTAAAATACTAAAAAAATTGATTGAACTTCATTCCAATGGTTCACGGATCCTGGAAATCTAAAACGTCACCACTATTCTTCGGTCACAATTGTTCATTGCTCCATATACATGCAATATGCCATATATTTGCTTTCTATTTGATTACTAACGATAGCCGTTGGCCATTCATTTGCAATTTCTTAGAGTTGTCAATATTTTTTTCTTCAGCACAGCTGCAGCAACGGGATATGGATTACTAGACGAAAAATAGTGAAAGATCTCATTTGTTGCTTTCTTTGTGGAAAAGAAAAAATATTAAGTAGAGCTAAAGAGAAGATAGCGAGGAGAATGGAGTATTTAAATCTTGTTGTTGAAACTTTGCCAATCAGATTCGCAAAGCAATCATGGCTACAGATCTGATCAACAGCGAAGCAGATAGGTATCTGGTGTGTAGTACGCAATCGCACCATTTTCAAAGAAAATGATGACCTCCGCAAGAGAATTTTTGAGCTCTGCGATGCCTACTACTCTTACATTTTTTTCACTACCATTATTTCGGACACTTTATTTCAAGCAAACGAATTGTTGGAGAAATAAATAGAGCACGGGAGGGAAAAAATGCTTGTAATATTTCAAAAGAAAAGGAAAAAGGAGAAACTCAAAGGAAACTGATTGATAAAGAATTATAGATTTGAATAGCAAGAAGAGAAGATGAAAATCAGAGCTTGAAAAAAGAAAGAAAGAGGAATCAACCAATAAAATCATCACAAGTTCTCATTAATTTTGCCCACCTCGTCTTCCAGACAACACTTGGCGGCTGTCCCTCCGTGTCGGTGTTTGCAAATAGAAGTACAGGATAGTGCGAGACCTGGAAGTGATTCACCAGCATCGTGTGTGGAAATAAACAGGACCCAAGGGGCGGAGCGGGAGCGATCTTCCCCGACAGCTTCCCGAGCAATGACGCACGGGCGGAGATCAGGCCGCGCGCCGCCTCTTCGGGGTTTTTTACGTGAAATCTCTGGCGAGACGAGGATTTAGCGATTTTTTTTCAAAAACATCATCGCGGGGGAAATAAGTAGATCATTATCAAAGATCAGATTGCTAAAAGTGTTTGCAAAAATTGGCAATTTTTGGACTAATTTTGATGGAGAAAAAATCGCACAAAACTTTAAAAATTGAGCATAGACTGTACCAATCTAAATTTTTTAACCAAAAAAATCTCTCCTACCTGAAGTGATGAATATTTTTTCACCAGTCCAGTATGTCCATGTCTCCGTTTTGTTGGTTCAGAGCTTTGTTGTCCATTTTCTTCAAGAATTAGAGTCATTTTTGTCTGAAATTTCCACACTTAAATTTAACGCCACGAAACTTTGGCGCAATTCAACGACAGCTGTGAAAAATCTTGAAAAATTCTAGACATTCTCAGAAACATCTGGAAGCACTGAGAACAGCTGTTGATACAACGATGGAAAAAATTCCTTGGAGTAAAAAAAGGCTATGGATTGGTATCATTGGCAGAAAAACAGCAGCGCATCGCTCATCACCTTGCACCTGCTTCGGCCAAGATTTTCGTTACAAACACACGTGGGAGCTGGGGTTATTTGGGATGGAATTTTTTTTCTGAGGGGGGGGGGGGGTAGGGGAATTAGCGGTTGTGGAGGGCTCCCAATACTTACTAGACGGAGTACGGTAAAATTCGGTAAATCACGGTAGATTAAGAAAGCTTGATTTACAACTATCTGCATTCCTGACTATTAGAAGCCGGATATAAGTTTGTGGCAACCTTTCGAAAATTTCTGAAAAAAATTTCAGCAACAGAACAATTATGAGAAATTTAGCACTATACCGTATTTTCTCAAAACTGGTACCAAAAATTTTTTGATAATAACATACATTAGTCATAACAATTCAAGGCCTGTTTGTCTGTAAATTTTCATAAAAACAAGTGAACATTAAAGGTGAATACAGACTTAGGGTAGCTTTCTAAGAAGATCCAACCATTAATCAGCTTTTTGCAGTGTATGATTCACAAGTGCTCAAATATAATTATAGTGTTATTAGAATTACAGTATGATTAGGTAAAACTGCAGTTATGAAAAAAAATTGCTCAAACTTACAGCTTTTACCCCTTGTTTACTGCCAAACGTTTCAGTTTTCACAAAAATCTGGTATCATAAAAATCAAAGTTAAATTACAAGGAAAAATTGGCTTCGAGGAAAAAACCTTAGAAACACTTAGAATGATATTTGGGTAGCCATAAATATACAGCCGCATCCATTGCGACGCAATCTGAAGCCTTTGAGTCGCGGAGAGATAATGTGGATAGAGGATACGCAGGCAATGAAAGGTTGGGCATCGCCTTCGTTTGAGACTAGATTGTTATTCTGAAGCTTACTTGCGAATGTGTTTAATGTTGTCTGTCTGTCGAATGTTGTATAAGATGTATTGAATATAGTGTATCTATGTGACGTATTTGCTAGGCACACCCAAATTCAGTAATAAAAATGAACAAGAGTTTTTATTAGACATCAATTTCAAAGACAAAAGAGTCAGTTTCGTGAACTACGTGATTTTTTCCCTCTGTGTTGGTAAATTTATTTTGAAAACTTGGTAATTTTACTTTTGAAAGACTTTTTGAGCCTGTAATAGCCCATTCAAGAAAAAATCTAGCATGTCGTTTATCTAGAATTGGAACATCAATGAATTACATTGATGCATCGGGTTATTCAGAACTCAAAAATCTGTTTAACGAACTAAAAATTTACCTCCCTTATCCCCACCATCATATAACAGATCCTCTTTGGAACCACCAGAAGCTTGAGAATGAGGACGTCATATCATAAATTGCTCCGAATGGAAGTTCTTAGCACCATTAGAGAGCTCACAAAAAGCCCTAATGACCATAATCTTTCGCTCTCTCTGCAGCTGAGCTCGGAAACTCATCAGAATTTGCAGAAAAGTTTCTACATTTCAAGTGAATTACTTTGAATTACTTTTGAGGACCATTTTGAAATGGATTTTTTTGTAGTAAATAGAGAAGGCGTGAACATACATCTTAACTATTCTTTAGAGCAAAATTGTGTAATCTGCTTATGTTTTACTCCAAATTCACTACTATTCTTCGAGGTATACATGCATTAACTGCTCAAGAAATTTCTAACAAAAAACCTTGAAAAAGCAAAAACTCTGGAAAACTTAAAGTTGCCCTTATGTTTATACCTGAACAATACCATCAGGTAATAAATGCACTGAACATACGTCAAGTATTAATAGCTTATGAACTCTATCAACACATCATTCATACCAACTTCCGGTAGCACTTCTAGATAGTACCATTATATGGTCCTTTTACGCAATTGGGCCCCAAAGCCCTTTACACATAGTATGTGGTTAGTGAAGTGCCTATTATACCTCAAAAACTTGGGTAAGCAATTTATCCTACCATTTATCCAACCCCACAAAACGAGTCCATGTAACGCGGATTGGACTTTTTCCCTCAGAAGAATGCGATTGAATTCGTTTCCCGAAAATGCTCAGTAACGCAATTTTCCAGGATTTTACATGGTTCAGTACTTTCCATCTAGATAAAGCCATGTTTTCTGTCCTGATTGGAGAATAAAACAATTTAGAATGTATATGGTTATTGCATTGCGTAGGTAATGCTGCACGAAAAGCCTCGAGGGTAAATTACCCGGTGAGTACCTCTCACCTCGGACGGGCACTTCACGGACCAACTCTTCCTCAATCAACTTTGCGGCTCAGATAATGCAATAGAAAGACCGTAGTATAGCTATAACACATGGCAGACCGATACGGGGGAGAGCGGAGAGGGGGGAGTAGATGGCAAAATTTCTGGGGATGGTTTTTACTTAGGAAATTATCCAGCTGACATGTCCTCATTCTCAAACAATTAAGCCCATCGCCTATAAGGGATAAAAGGAGAAGAAAAGAAGAATAAAAATGTAAGAATAAAATCAACTTGGTAGGAAATAAAAGCCATTTTTTTCATAATCCCAGGGTTACAAGCTTGCGAAAAATTTGAAAAAAAGGAAGCATCCAGAAAAGTTTCAAAGTGCGCTGCTCCTCTCCAAAGAGACGTTCACCCCTCTTTCCTCCCTTCCCAGAAATTTTCTTTCCAGACCATGGCTGCCTTTGGATGTGGAGAAAGCAAGTAATTCATAGCTCGCCTACCCTCCCCCCTCCCTCCAATATTTTTTTCTATGAAGGTACGACCTATTATTTTCCCCAGAAGAAATACTCAGATCTTGTTTTGCTATGAATGGCTTCTCACATTTATGGAATACTAGCTGGCTTACCCGGCTCCGCCGTATGTTCCGAATAGAAAATTCCATTTCTTAACCGATCCGGACCAAACTTGGCACACATACACTTCGGGCCCCGGCGGGTGTCACAGTTCACTTTTCGTTATCGATCGTTGTCGATTTTATCGATTTTTTGCAAAATTTGAGCTAGGGGGCTGGAATTTGGCAGGGGGGTGTAATCGAGCATGCTGATCACCCCCACGGGGGTGATCAGCATGCTCGATTACCCCCCTGTGCCAACTCCCAGCCCTGTAGCTCAAATTTTGCAAAAAATCGATAAAATCAATATCGATCGATGACGAAAAGTAGCCTATGACACCCGCCGGGGCCCGAAGTGTATGTGTGCCAAGTTTGGTCCCGATCGGTTCAGAAATGGAATTTTCTATTCGGAACATACGTACAGACAGACAGACAGACATACAGACAGACAGACAAACAGACATTCAGCTTTATATATAAGATTTACGAACATTTGGCTAGCTTTATAAGCTTCTAGACACTTTATGGTTTCCCGTAACCTTTTACTAGCAAAAAAGCACGTTATGACAGCCGGAGGGAGGATTCTAATAAATTGTTCAAAAAAGTGCAAATAATATAAGTCTACTGTTCAGTAAGGAAATTACCATCATTCTTACCAAGTAAATTTTTCGAGCAACCTCTTGATGGCTGATGGTCGTGACATAAACCTGATTTTAGCCATTTTCTTGGGTTTTTCTGACTATCTCAAGCTGATTGCTTCCTTTGCATACAAATCTCATCTAGAGAGAACATCAAGTCTCGAACGGATGCGTTCGGTTTTTTGCTATTTTTCAAGGATAAAGAAAGACTAAGAGCAACTTGAGAAAGACATCATGCTGCTAAATCGCCTTGGTTTCTAACATAAACAAAATTCTTCAAGCTCAATGTTTTAAGACTCAAATTACAAGCAAGAAATGGAACTGGGAGTGAAAAAACTTGACTGATATAATGAGAGGCTTATAGACTTACAGGAGAAACCCAATCACTCCATAAAAATAGTTATGTAATAGAACGGAAATGGCTTCAAAGCTTCATCCAACTACCGTTCGAAAAGCGAAGGAAGTTGTAACAAATTTATGTGAAGCATTAAATTTATGACAAAATCGCTGGCTTACTTTTTTCGCAGCAAGAATGGGAAAATTTTATGAGTCAGGACGAGCCTCAAGAGGACGGGAAGTCGATAAATGCTCCTGATTTATTTCAATCGAGTTTTGGCTCTAAGCTTGTCCAACAATTCTAAGAAAACTAATATATCAATTTTAGGTGTCAAATACTCGATAATCTGTTCATCCAAATAATAAAAAGTCTAGAAATGAACAAAAATTCTCAAAAAAAACCTGTTCAAAATTATTCGAGGAACACTACGGTCCTCAAATTTTCACTAAATTTGTATTATTTTATTTTTATTGAATCTGTATTTGGTTGAGCGTCAGGTTTCAACAAAGTTATGTGAAACATTAGAAAATATAATAAAGTTTTACTGAAATATGCATTCTTTTTGAAGCAAATCAAAATAAGTCTAGAATTATGCTATTCGTAGAGACACCCGATCAGCAGGTATACCTCGAACTTAGTTGAAAGGATTAGGTTGTGCATGAGTAAAGTCAAAGTAGTTTTTGTTGATTTTTGTAACGTTTTTTGTCGCCGAAAATGAAAAAAAATCTATCCACTTGGATAGCTGTGATACACACAGATTATTTCATATGAACATGTGCGCCACTGCACACACTATCCTTTTTTGACATCCTCATCCTGCATTCTTGGAGGAGACAACTCTTCCGGTAAGTATTTTCGATGTGTTTATAGTATTTTTCCTTTTTAAGCGTTAATTATCTCAAATGTTGTAAGCGATAAAAATCGGTTAGTCTTTTGCGGTTTTGATATTGCAAATCAGGGATGAGGACGCCAAAGATGGACGGTGTGTGCAATGCACACCTGATCAAATGAAATGATTAACTGTATGGTAACATTATCCTTTGCTCTAAGC